GGGAGAGAACCACCCACCCCAGAGCACGCCAGTTAGGAGGGCCCAGGCGTTGCTGTAAAGAGGTTCAGCTTCGTCTGTCTTCAAGATGGCCCCAAGCAAAGCATCACTCTGTATCTTGGGGGGCATATCAAAGGAAACCGGGCAAAACATTCTAAAGTAGCGATAATGTGAGACACAATATTATAATAACTGGGAAATGTATCAACAGACTCATGAGTTTTCTTTGTATTTGGTTTAATTTTGTTTTTGTTTTTCTGCTTCCTTAACTTACAGAGAGAGAGAATAATCATAACGTTATTGTACATTATGAAGCCGGACTCTTTATGGGAATGCCTGGGCCCTCCTAACTGGCATGCTCTGGGATGGGTGGTACTCTCCCAGAAGTCCATGGAGAGACACTGTAAGCACTCTTCAAAGGGGTGCTGCTTCAGCACACCCAGGGTCCCCCAGAAGGGCTTCTCTCACCACTCTGTCAGCTGATGAAGTCAGGGAATTAACTTCGACCAGGGGCCTAAACTGGGGCTTACATTGTTACCAGGTGAATGGCACAGAGCAGTGGCACTGAGATCTAAGCTCAGGTTCCTTTGCTGTGGGAACCTATCCCCCCCCCCCCCCCCACAGTGACTGTGTGACTGTACCAGCTTAGCCATCCTGAAGCCATCACATCATCTCTTCCGGGGGCCACAGAGAGATGGGTCGTCGTTTCCGTTTCCATTTCTGTAAAGGAAGCCCAGGTTTGAGTTCCAGACGCCGGAGAGGGCGTGCAGCACCCCGGAGACTTACCTGTCTCTTGCATCTTATCTTAGTCTCTCCAGATAAGTGCCTCGAAGTGCGTCGTGGGCCCTTGTTGTTTATATTTGTCATGGTCACTGGAACTTGGTTAGTATATGAATCATTGCCGAGAGCTGGGCTTTATTGTGGCTCTTCTGAGTGCGGCCTGGTCCCTGTTGAGAGTAGCCTTCCGTTATCTATCGGTGGACTCATCTCTTGGTTGGGCTCTTGTTGATATGATACTAATATCACCAGATTCAAGGAAATCTACTTAGCTAATAAGTATTTCGGAGGCTACTTTTATGAGGTTCTAGATTGGGGTGCCAAGATGTTGGAAGCACAAGGGGTGTGGAGTGAGGCTTTCGTTTCCATTTACTAGTTCTGTGTCTTTGAGACAGTTGTTTGGTGTCTCAGCCTGTGAAGTTTCCAGAACTCCATCACTGTTGGTTTTCTCTCCTTATGACAAAAATGAGTGTTGTATGAATGGATATGGATTTCCTTGACTTTATCAGACCACAGAAGATTTTCAGGGTGGGTGAGCGAACCCCCTTTCCTCAGGGGAGACCACTCCCGGCTGCTGATGGGTGTGCCACCATCCGTCCGGGTCACCCTTGTCAGTTGCAGTGAGGAGCAGCAGCAAACAGCTGTTCATTATAAGTCACTGTTGCTCTCCACCAAAGTTTCAAGCTAAAATATCTTTTAAACCACGTGTTTGCTCATTTTAAAGAGTCGGATTATAAATTGCTGGAAGCCAGGGACCACTATCCACCCAATCTCACTGGCAGTGGATTCAGAGTGTAATTGAGTCTGGAGAGGACGTGCTGATAGATGCCAAGAAGGGACAACCCACACCGTGGGCAGGCGCCTTCTCTGCTTGCCCAGCCAGCCTGAGGCGCCCCTGCTCCCCAACCTGCAGCACGTGGCCCAGGCGTTGTGCTGCTGGGGTTCAGGCGTGTCTGGCCTGCGAGCCGTCTGTTTGTAGGGGGGACCGTGAAGCCTCCTGGGAGACTCTTCCTTCTAGTCCTCACGATCTCAGCCAGAAATGGAAAGGGAAGTATGATTTCGAGGACTGGATAGACTTGGTTTTCTCGGTGGTTCACATTCTGAAGTCTGGGCAGGAGCAGGGGATGGGCAGGGATGTGGTGTGGGAAGGTTGCGGGTGAATAGGGACAATTGGTAAGAACAGAAATGGTGGTGTCACTTTAAAAACACCTTAAGACTTTGCCGAAACCGGTTTGGCTCAATGGTAGAGCGTCGGTCTGCGGACTGAAAGGTCCCAGGTTCGATTCCGGTCAGGGGCATGTACGTTGGCTACGGGCACATCCCCGGTAGGGGGTGTGCAAGAGGCAGCTGGTCGATTTTCTCTCTCATCAACGTTTTTAGCTCTCTTCTCTCTCCCTTCCTCTCTGTAAAAAATCAATAAAAATATAAAAACACCTTAAGACTTTAGAGCAAAGTAAATGGCTGTGGTACCACCAGGAAAGCTGCTGTCTTACAGAAGCCTGGATGGAGAAATGTCCCCCACTGTGCACAGAGCACAGCTGAATTTGGGCACCTTGCTGCCAGCAGGTGCCCAGCAAAGTTGGCAGCCGTCACTCACAGATGTGGCTCTTCAGCAGGCAGCCCAGGAAACAGGGAGGCCCCTTGCCATAGGGGGCAGCAACCACCTTATTACCTGGTGCCACGGGAAGTGCTGGAATACAAAAAAAAAAGGGGTGTGTGTGTGTGTGTGTGCACGTGGTCCATCCGGGTCTTTTCTGTGTGCTCACCTATCTGTCTGCCTCAGGACTTCCAGAAAACATCAGAGAGAACCCAGCGGGGCTTTGGGGCTGGCACAGATAATGGTTACTAACATGCATGCTCCTTCCGGCCCCAGCTCAGCTCTGCAAACGAGAGCTGCCAGGAAGTGGGTGTGCGGTGGGTCACTCAGCTCTCGGTTTAGAAAAGGCAGCCGCGCAGGGGAGAGAGTGGGTGCTCTTGGGAGGTGCTGGGAGGAAAGAGAAAAAGGGCGATGAGGAGAAATACTTGCTAAGTCCTGTGATCACTTATTGCAAATGTTTTTTGTCTTCCAGCCTTATGGAGATATAGCTAACACATAAAATTGTAACACATTTAAAGAGCACAGTGTGATGATTTGATATACATAAACACTGTGAAAGGAATTCTCACACTGAGTTAATACATCTAATACCTCACATATTTACCTTTTTATTTTTAATTTTTAATTTTTTTTGTCAGAACATTAAAGTTTTACTCTCGTAGCAAATTTCAATTACACAATACAGTATTATTACTATGGCCACCATGCTGGACATTAGATCCTTAGACCTTATTAATCTTATAGCTGGTAGTTTTACCCTTTTACCAACCTCTTCCTGTTCTCTTCACCTCCTAGCCTCAAACAACCACTTTTATTTTTCTACTGTGGTTTTTTTTTTTGAGTTTGACTTTTACATATTATTTTATTTTTATTATATTTTACATATAATTTACATAAAATCTTATTTTACATATTCCTGGTATTTGTCTTTCTCTGCCTGGCTTATTTCACTTAGCACAGTGCCCTCCAAGGTCACTTATGTTGTCACAAACGACAGGATATCTTTAAGTAGAATTTAAGGCAATCATGCTATCATTATTTCTCAGCTGTGAGTAACATACAAAACACTTTCAAAGACTTAATCGGGTCTCAACTACATGTGATTATGTTTCTAGAAAATCACAAAGCCACAGATTTACAGCTAAGTCCTTGAAAATCTCCATATAAAAGAATTTCAATGAATGATATTAATGGGATGAATGACTTTGTTTTGAGTCAAAATCATGGCACAGGGTGAAAATACAGTGTCGTTGGGACCACACGCAGGTATTTGGGTTCAGCAAGCCTCCCCTGCATGTGCTCAGGATGGCGCCCATCTGTCCCCACTCTTAGCCATTTAACTGTGGAAAGCAGTATCGCCCTCTAGCCAGCTCGTCCTTAGCTGGTTTACACCCAGGAGACACCTTCCAGTGGTACTTGCGGGGAGAAGCTGCAACCCCTAGGCCCCCCTTGCCTGCCCTTCAGGCCCTGAAAGTTATTCAGGAGATAAATGGCACCCAGGGGCAACTTACCTGTGAAGGGTTAGTGTTTCTCAGTGAACTCGTCTGCCTTTCTCAAGTCACATCATAGCGTGAAACTCTTTGAGACTCAAGGAAAAGCATCTGCTTGCAAAATCTTTCCACTCTGCCTTGCCCCTTGGGCTTGGGGAGGAGGGGAAGAGCTCATGTAAAATTCATCTCTGACACTCTGATTCAGGAGGGTGTGTTGTAAACTCCTTGCCTGCGGTGTGCCGTGTTCAGGGTTTGCCAGGAATTTCGCCACCTGCTTTCTCTGTGATCTGAAGGTACTCAGAGCAGAACAGACAATTCCCATCCCAAACCCTCTTCTTTAGTAAGATTATTCCCAGTGTTAGGGGTTGGACCCTCCTTTTGCTCCTGCTCCCTGTCTCTTCCGAGAGAAAGATCAGAGCCGTGTCGGAGGCTGGTTCCGAGAGCCTGGCTCTGACCATGTGCGGGGGAGCAGGCTGCTTGACTTTCATGTTCTGGCTTCACTCTCATGTTCTTGACTCTCATGTTTTGGCTGTGGCGGTGCCCTGAGCCCCCAGAGGCCTCAGGCTGCAGGTGCACGGCTGTGTGCCTCCCGGCCACGCTGGTTTGCTCTCCTTCTCTCTTTCTTCAAGTCTCTGTGAGAGCTGTGTCCTTTCCAGTCAGGGCCGCCGCCTCTGCTCATCCTCTCCTGTTCTCTGCTCCGCATTTCCCTCCTCTCCTTGTGTTTCTCCTTTCTCACACATCTTCGGTGTTTCTCTCCTTCGGGCAAATGAATTCCTGTAGTCACCATCACCAGCCGGTCAGAATGGTCTTTCTGCTTTTCTCCCAGTGGCTGACCCACAAGTCCTGAGGCATCAGGGGTGATTGGGGAAGGCGGGAGTTGGGGGGACGGTGGGCGTTCACCTCTTAGAACAACACCAGAACTGGGTAGCTGTGGAAGCGACTAATTTGAGCCCCAGGAGGCTCTGAAGCACCGGCGCTGGAAGGCACTGGTGTCCCCTGTCCTTCCATGGGAGACTGTCCCTGTGCTCTTCCTTCCAATTCAGATACAAAGTCACGGCACCTGCCCCGGAGCTGGGGGCAGACCCCCATGGCCTGTGTCGCCTCTGAGACGCCTCATGGTTCTGTTCCTTTACCCGCAGGGCCCTCCTCCAGCAACTGCAGAAGCTGCAGACTCTGGTGATGGGCAAGGTTTCTCGCACTTGCAAACTGGCCGGCACGCAGACTGGCACCTGCCTCATGGTGAGTTTCCCAAAGGGACATGCCATGACCATCCGCCCACTCCCCAGTCTCCATCCCCCACAGCCTGCCTCGTCTGGGGGCCGTGGGGCTGGACGAACCTTGCAGCTTGGGTCTGGCCGTCTGCTGGCCGGCAGAGGGAGGCTCTCTCCCCGGGCCTCCCGGGGCTGCGGGCGTGATCCGTGGACCTTGGGGCTGACACCCCCGTGTTCTCCCTCGCCTGCAGGTGGTTGTGCTGTGCTTTGCCGTGGCGTTCGGCAGCTTCTTTCAGGGCTACGGGCCCTACCCTTCTGCCACCAAGATGGCCCTGCCCAGCCAGCATTCCGTGCCAGAGCCGTACACCGCCTCCGTGGGTAAGGCCACACTCGGCATGCGGGGAGGGTCTCCGTTCATTCCCCTGGAGCTTTCTGGAAGCTCACCTTCCTGAAGGGGGTCTTTTCTGAACGTCTGATTTTAGAAACGTGATGAAAGTGTAGCTTCTCCCCTGAAGGCCAGGAAGGGGCGGGGGGAGGCTCATGCCCACTTGCCCGGTTTCCCCCGTGCCCCTCCCCCATTGGGCTGGGCACCGCTGGGAATCCTGTAGATCTCAGCGGAGCACACTTTGCAAACACGGCTCTCACGACCGTGTCCCCTGGCACACTGTCGCTGCCCCAGCCCTGGGGACGTGCTGTGCCCTCTGGTGTCTCCCTAACGCCCGGTCCTCTGCTTTGCCCCCAGTGAGGTCCAGGAACCTGCTCATCTACGAGGAGCACTCTCCCCTGGAGGAGCCGTCCAGCCCCGCCCCGGCCGGGGAGCTCGGCCGCTGGGACAGAGGCTCCTCCCTGCTCCGGGCGTCGGGGCTGGAGTCCAGACCGGACGTGGACCTTCCCCATTTCGTCATCTCCAACGAGAGCAGCCTGGAGAAGTCCGTGCTGTGGGAGCTCCAGCAGCGCCTGTGAGTCCGCGGACACAGGCCCCCATCCTCCGCTGCGCTGGTCGGGGTCCGGGTCAGATCAGCAGCCTCGCCTGCGAGCCGGGACTCTCTCACAGGCCTAGTCAGTCCTTCTGCTCTTTCGGGACCGATTTCCAGGTCTGGGGACTCTGGAGGGTGTACTATTTGCCAGTAGCTGCCCTGGGTAGAGATGGGAAAAGCTTCCCCCTTCTCCACCCCCGTCTGCCATGTCACTGGGGAGCTGGCAGCGCCGGCTCCATGATGTGGGGAAAGGGCTTGCCCCTTCCTCACTCTCTCCTCGTCCCCTCAAAGCCACCTGAGTAAACACACGGTCAGCTCAGAAGGATGCTTGCCATGCAAATGCAGCCCAAGACACCTTCTCTAGCTTCCTTCCAGCAAACATATATGCGATGCTATATGTCAGTATGTGAGTAAGCATGCATGAGCTGTAATTACATATTTCTATTGAGGGCACCATTGAAAAGACACGTGCATGTTCGTGCTTCCTTATTGAAAGTAGCACGTTTGGCTCCAGTTCTCCATGAGTTGTGGCCCTTAGTCACGGAGAAACGTCCCTTTGTAAACGTAAAGGCGTTTAACAGGTGCCGGGTGTTGCTGAGTGAGGGGTCGTGCCTGGGAGGCAGACGGCACAGGAGGGGTCTGCACGCTCACTCCCGGTTGTGTGGTGTGGTTGGGGAGGAGCTGAATGGCCTCTGCCCTAGGCCTCCCAGGAATGACGCTATTCCAACAGATGCAGAGAGATTCCACTTCTAATTCTCCAGCTTTCTCCCAGTAACGCTACGGGACGGCTCCTGGTGACATATACCTTTACAGATTTACGTCACACCTGCCTATGTAACGTGTCCTGGCACTTAACCATTTAAGCACTAAGCAAATGAGATACATAAACCTCGTTAATTACTTTAAGAGGTTATTATTATTAATTACAGAGAAATTGTAGGGCTATGGAGACTCGACTGCTTGAGTATTTGGTTCCTGACACAAGTCGCCTCTCCTAGCTCAACTCTCCAGGCCGATGGAAATATGCTTGTTTGGGATGTCTCCTGGGCATGGCCTGCCTGTTCCTCCTCCACATGCCTAGGACTCTGGGCTGTTACACAATCCTGTCTAATAAAGAGCTAATAGGCTAATTAGACTGGATGGCAGTGGGTAGGGGGCGGGGCCATTGGGCAGCAAGGCAGCCTGGACTGTGAGGGCCGAGCACCTTGCACGAATTTGTGCATCATGCCTCTAGTTTAACATAATGTAGTTATTTTCTGTTGTGTATTTATTATTTCCAGTTACTTATTTGGGGCTTTAGGGGGTCTTTATTGGGATTAGTTGCTATGCTAGAACAGGGATCAGCTTTATCCTTCTGTTTTGTCTTTCCCAGGGTCTAGCCATCCTCAGCCAATACAGGACTTTAAAGGGCCCTCAATAGATGCAGCACTTTAAAGCAGTGTGCAACAGATCAATCTGAAACTGTCATCTTTAGTCCCTGGGCAGGGGTGTCTCCCCTTGGGGGAAGGGGGTGATGACGAGGGGTGGTGACGAGGACAATGGCCAGGCTGGTAGTGGGAGACTTTGGGAACGGAGAATTGCCACTGGGCGGGAAGGAACAGGGGCACGCTTGGGCCAGCCTGCAAAGTTGTAGTCAAGGCCTGATCCTGCCTCCAGCCAGCACGGCTGAGACTGTTCTTCCTCTCGATGCCTTCACAGGGTCAGCGCCCAGCTGGAGGGGAACGAAACACTAAAAGTTGTCGAACTCGACAGGAGAGTGAACGCCACCTTCTGAGCGGTGTCTCCACCACCCTCCTCCCTCTCTCGGCTCTACTTTTACTTCCCAAACCGCCTTTGTTTTGAGCTTTTCCTTATTCCCACTCAACACGGATGAAGACATGGAGGAGCAGTCGTGACTTTGGCCCGGAGGACGGCCTGCGATTTCCACCAGCGGTGAGAGCCGTCCCCCTGCAGCCCCGAGGCCCTCCCTGCAAGGGGAGCCGGCATCTCTCCCCCACCCCCCCTGCAGCCCCTGCCTTAGGAGGTCACGCTGGGGTCAGGCGTGGGAAGGCGGGCTTGTTTCTGCCGAGAGTGCTGAGAATCGACTACCTGCTTCTCACCTGGGGTGTGACCACCTCTTTGAACCTCTTTGAAGAAGACAGCTCTTCTTCATTGGAGACCCCACACTCTGGCCACAAAGAGCTCAGGATGCCTGTTGGGATCTGGCGAAGCAGTGACTGATGTCCCGCCTCCCTCAGCCTGGTCTCCTGTGTGTCGCCCGTGTGTCCGCCCGTCGGCCCTGGAAGTGCCAGTGTGTCCAGTGAGCGCCGCGCCACCCTGCTCGGTCCCAGCCCTCCAGCCCGTGCCCGTGGTCCTCGCTCTGGGCCAGGGCCCCTCACATTCTCAGGCCGCAAGTGCAATGCCTGAAGGAATCAGGCTTCCCTACTCCAGGCGAACCTGCCCGTCTTGTTGCTTGTAGGACTTCTCCAGAACCCGTGTTCCCTCACCCATAGATCCGCCTCCTGGCTTCTCCTCCCCGTTTGTAAATAGTATTTATTAGCTCGCGAGGCTTCCCGCTAGCAGCCACCGAAGAGATCCTCCCGCCGAGCCTGCAGAGTCTTGGGTTGGACTTGGGCGCTAGGAGGGCAGCGGAGGCTCTGGGATTCCCGGTCCTCCAGGCCCCGTTTCATTTCCTTTCCTTCTCTTCGTTCCCGGAGGCCTGTCCCTGCGGGTGGGAAATCCCCGGCAGCGTGTTCTCCCTAAGAATGGACTCCGAGGAAAGATGGCTCCAGTGTGTGAGCTGTGGCCAGACACCTATTGTCCGGTGCCCAGAGCAGAGCGGGAAGGGCCTGCCGGACACCAGGCATGTCGGACAGCCTTGCTAGCGTGTCTCACCACACCTGCGCCTGGTCCCTCCTCCCCACCTTCCCTACCCCCACTTTTACCCCCTCTTCTGCCTCCACAGAGGGGTTGGGCCTGAGGCCTGCTCCTGGGGTCGGACCAGGTGACATCGTTATCTACGGTCTGACCTTGTATAGCCAGGTTTGGCTACTTCGCAGCTCACCCAAAGAGACGTAACCCCACAACCTACTTTTATTTTATTTTTTAATGATTAAAGACACTTTTGTAGTTTTTTAAAAAAAAATCTCTCCTCTTTCATACAGATAAGACACGAAGTTGCCTTTTTATTGTATAATGTAGAAAGTTTGCCTTAAGTGTTTTTCCATACTTGTAAAGGAATTAGCTTACATTTTGTATTTTGTTTTTAGTAGAAGCTGAAGGGCCTTTAGCTTTCTCCCTCCCTCCCTCTCTCTCTCTCTCTCCCTTTATCATTGTCATTGGAATCTGTACTTAGGAGGGATCAAGCCCACAGCTGGGCCTTTTCCCTATCCATACAGGATTTGATGTCATTAGCATTGGCCGTCATATCTGGTAAGCAGATCTGTTTGTCTGTCTGGGTACATCTGGGGCTCATGTCAGGGTCGCCTGTGTGTCCCTGCTGTGATGGAGAGTGTTCCTGACCGGGGGATGGCCAGGTTCTTCTCCTCCGCAGTGTGTGAATGCGGGGTCACCACTGCAGTGGTCCTGGTGGCCCTGCCAGCCCTCAGCACCGTTCCCGCTGCCCCTTACACTGGCCAAGGAGGGCTGGGACCCTCTGGGCTGTGCCTCCGGCTCCAGCTTCTCTCTACTCCCTCCTCTCCCTTTCTTCTGTCTGGATCTTCGGGCCTGGCTGGTGTCTGGTAACTGTGGCCCACCACCTACCCATCCCCCTCTGTAAAATGGCATGTAATGATCAGGCAGAGGCAGCCTGGGGAGGGGAAGGGAAAAGAATGAACTCGAACAGTATTTGGATGATGCGAAAGGAAAGGTTCATAGTTGAGGGCAGAAGTGAGAGAATGGCTCAGCCCACCTACCTGTTGCACCAGCCCCAGATGGGGCTTTAAGGTTCCTAAATAGCCAGTGTGGGGGACCTGCTTTGTGAGAGCGGAGGGCGAGGGGCAGGGCAGCACACTGGGAGCCTGCCCTCAGAGCCTCGAGGATTTCATTCTCTCTCTTGCCCACCCCTGCTTGACATCACTCTCCCCAGTGCAGAGGTCATGTGTCATAGAGATGTAACTTGAAACCTACGCGATCTGATTAACCAATGTCGCCCCAATAAATTTAATAAAAATAAATGAAAACAAATGGCTACACACTCTCCCCAGACCTCTGTCCAGCAGGGCATTTTCTCTGAGAAACCGTTCTTCTTCTTTTTAATATATATTTATTGATTTTTTTTATAGAGAGGGAGAGTGATAGAGAGTTAGAACATCAATGAGAGAGAAACATCGATCAGCTGCCTCCTGCACACCTCCTACTGGGATGTGCCCGCAACCAAGGTACGTGCCCTTCATCAGAATCGAACCTGGGACCTTTCAGTCCACAGGCCGACGCTCTATCCACTGAGCCAAACCGGTTTCGGTGAGAAACCGTTCTTCTGATGAGAATCTGTACCTAGAGACGGACATCAACTGAGAGCTCAAATGGCCGTTTTAAGGGGCTCCTAGAACTAATATTGCCGTTGTTTTGAGAAAAACCTCTGCCGTCCACTCCCTGCTTTGGGGAGTGAAGGAAATGAAACACGCTTTTAGGAGGATGTAAGGAGGTCAGGAAACAGGAGGCGTTGACAATAGTGGATGGGTCCCAAACGTGGACACGTTTCTGTTAAGCCCCACAGCCTGCTCTGCAGACTGGTCAGCCCCTGGTGAGCCCTGGCGATTTCACATAGTGGCGAGCGTTGGCTTCCAAATTTCAGTTTCAAATTTCAGTGCAACCATAATCCGCAGAGAACACATACCTCACTTGTATGGATGTTAATTCTATTTCTCATCATGCAAGCAGCTTTTCCTCTTTCCTTTTTTTGATTACCACCAATGAAGGAGATGGTTACAAACAATCAGAGAACAAGTTACCTGTTCCTGGGTGAGACCCCAGAGACCCACACTCCCCGGCGTGGTTCTGGACTTTGCACTCGGAAACGGATACCGGAAATGAGAGGCCTGGGGGTGGGTTTTGGGAGGAATCCCTGTAAGGCGTTGAGACCTGGGCCTCCTGGACATGATGTGTTCTAGGAACATCTCACAGCTGAACTGCGTTGCTCCTTCAGGGCAGCAGGCAGGGTGAGGTTGGACCCCAGTGCAGGCGCAATGAGATGACCTGTTGGTTTATACCAGTGGCTTTGATGTGGAGACCCGATTTGTGGATTGTCAAAGCAGCTTTTAGCTCAAGTTATTTACCAGCCAATTATATAAATACCATGTTTTTTAATTCCTAAATCTCTCAGTGTAGCCTGGATGCCAAAAGAGGGCTGTGAATCTCACGTGCCCATGGAATAGGAGTATCGATTGGTTCATCTCTATTCAGGTAGCGAGTCGGAATCCAGAATTTTTGTCCCAAGTGTTTTATGAAGAACTGGCAGCACTTCATGGCTCCTTCCTCTTATGTCCTCTGATCGAGCAAAAGCACAAAGACTGGACCTCTCTGTCTATCCTATCAGAGCCCGCTCCTCTGAACACACCTGTCCTGTGAGTGTGCATTTGAGCACGCTGCACAAAGAGACATCCTGAGAGGAAGTGGGCCATTCACGCGGGCCTTGCAGACATGGGGAGGCTGGAGATGGGGAGGAGGCTTGCAGCCTTCCCTGTGGGCCAGAAGGCACTCACCTGGTTCTGTTGAGCCCAGTCTTTGAGAACCTCTGTTAGACACCAGCATGTCTGCGTGCAGTGCCTGCAGACGGTGTGACTGTTAGCAGGTGGTGCCCCAGTGACAGTCATTTTATTTGAATGCTTTTTAGTGGAGACAATTAGGAAAAATATGAAAGGATACCCCTCCCCCTGACCTAGGAGAGAGCAGGGGGCTGTGAAATGGGGGCAGTGAAGGAGCAACAGACAGATTTTAGATTTTTCATTCATTTATTCATTCATTCATTCATCCACCCATTCATTCATTCATTCATCATTCCTTCCCTCCTGAGGAACAGAGCTGCATGAGGCTCTGGGGAGTGAGGGAGGCTAGGAAAGATCATTAATCAGTAGCTATTCAAACACACAAGTGCTAGGATTCTTATTCTCTGTCTGTCTGTCTCTCTCTCTCATATTTCTTCCTTGTCTTAAGACACTCGTTTGTGCCTTACTCGTGCCTTATAGAGGAGCCCAGGATTACTGAGGACTCTCCTTCTTGGGAGATGTTATATATAGCCTTGTAATATTTTATTGAAGTGTGGGTGGGAGAAATAACTTTTTCTGAAGGCTCAAAAATGGTTTCCTAAAAGTGAGCAATAACCAGATGTGTACATCAGCAGAAAAAAAGCAGAGTTATGTCCACTAGAAAAATCCCATTTTGTAGAGGTGCAATTATATCCAAAAATGGCCTGCCTGGATTAAAGGTATTATAAATCCACAGAGCAGAACATTTTCTCGTTGGGAAGGAACCTGGCCCATTTGGGGATTAATGCGTGATGCCTGCAGGGCCAGAGGGTCAGCACTTCGCGCAGGCAAAATCCACGTGTTGTTTCCTTTGGTCGTTTTGTGAGGCCTAAACGTCAGGAATGCTTTCTTTTCTCCTGGATTTGAGAAGGAAGGGGAAAAAAAAAATATTTTTTTTTTTGAGCACTTAACAAGTGCTGGGTGCTGTGCTAAATAAGCTTTAAGTCTTTTCATTTTATAGACGGAGTAAACAAGGGCCACTGGTTGCTCTGAGCTGGATATACAGACAGCTAAGGGGCATTGGAAGTGCAGCAGTTGGAGCAGATTCCGGGGTGTGACCAGGGCCAACGTCTAAGTTCTCCGGGCAGGACGCACCGTGCTGCTCGCTGCACTGGCCCCACTGAGCCAGTCCAGAGGGGATGTCCCCCAGGGGGGCCTCTCCTGTCTTTTTCATCCCACCTTCTGTGAGTTCTGGCGCACAAGCTGGGCATCCTAAACGCAAATGAGACAGGGGGTTCTCTGCTCCTGTCCTTTGTTCCCCAGCGGGGCGAGAACATGAACTTGGGGCACCGTGGACCTTCAGCCTAACACTGCTTAGAGAATATCCCTTTAGGATAAAACGCTTTGTGAGTCTGTGGAAAACACCAGCCCTCTCACACATTGTGAGTGACCCTTTTCAAACGACGCGGAGCCGACCCTGAACGGTACAGCTTTAACGTCTGTGCTGACTGCTGGGCTTGCCTCTCGTTTGTAACAGGTTATGTATAGACCAGCGGTGTTTACGTCTGAAGACATTGCAAGTCCATCGGTTGTATCGTGCTGTTCCTTTCAATAACTTTGTATTCTTTATCATAGCTAAGTCAATACCAAAAATATAAATGCTTTGTAACTTGTACTTAGTTTGGGGGGACAAAAAAAAATGAATTGGAATTGTTATGCTTTTTGTATTTCCATTTCTTGCAAATAAAAATATTTTTTTTCTTACGTAGTAAATTGTTGTCCAGTCTAAAACCCCGGTGATCTGGTTTTAAGAGCAGTTGTTTGGGTGAGCGTGGATTTGCATGTGTGTGCCTTACCCATTCTTCTCCCCTGTTCTAGCTGAGCCCAAAGAAGCCTCGAACAGCGTTCTGAATGGGGTCTAGTGCCAAATCCAAGGCTGGCTCGGTTGGAGGCATATGGAGAAATGCAATTGTTTTCTCAGCCAGACCCAGGAAGGAAAACAGGATTCTCTAGAGATGTCTAGCCTGAGTGCTATTTCCATTGTCTCCTCTTAGCTATTCCCGAACCAGGTTTCAGAAGTCTGTGCGTTGGAATATGCTTTCCCGGTTTGGAGAACAGGGGCGTGGGCTTGAGCCAGAAGAGAAGGGCAACTTCGTCATTCGAACTTGAAGAGGAGGCCTGCCACCGATTCATGCTCCAGAAATTCCGATGAAATGGTGGGTAACGGTCAGAGTACTAAGCAAAATCATCTTATCCCCCTGCCGTCTGTGTGTTCACTAGTGGTTTAATCTTCTCCACTCAGAGGCAGTGGGGCCTCCGCTAGCCTCAGGAAGAGTACCCAGGATGTCGGAGACCAAAGCCGTAAACCGTGTTTACCTGGAAACAACGGGAAAACCAACAACGTGTTTTTGTTTCTGAGCAGCATGCCTCACCCTGCCCTGGGCTCCCGGTACAGTGGTTTCCCCGCAGCCTTTCCCCTCTGAGCACCTTGACTTCTCTTCTTCTGTTCCTACTCGGGGGCCCCTTCCGGGGAGCCCATTATGGAAGCCTCCCCGTTGTCGCGCTGATATCTATCCAGTGATGTGTGGAGGGGGCAGATACTGCCAAATACTCACTCTGTATGAGTCATGCCTTTCTATTTCCTGTATTTCTGCTGCTTTGGCATCTGGGGCCTTGATGATCCAGGAAGGACTGTCCCTCTAGCCAGCTCCTAGAAAGAGCAAAGGACTTGCCTAGAAGCACACCTTTCATCTGCAAACCAACCAATCCAGGGCCCCTCCCCAACCCTCTCCTCTAAGCTCTTACAGGGGCCACGACCACTCTGTCCTAATCACCAGGGTCAGATACCAACAACCAGAACCCACTGCAGTTATCCCAAGCGGCCAATCCTAAACCTGCTTACCTCACCTCTCGTTGCTACCTCTGGAAACCACAACAAAGACTCTTGTCTTCTTTTTCCTCCCCTTGCTCTGCTTCCTGACAGATCCTGGTGCTTTCCTGGGTGGCCCTATGTGGTGTAGCTTGCTCCTTCCTTTTACAAACTGTGAGGAACACACTGTTTTGTTGGCCTCACCATATCTGAATAATAATAAAACATACGTTTTAGAACACGTTCGTTAGGCACCGAGTGCCAAATCAGAGGCTGATCCCAGACTTCTGGGTATTTGGGGTTTCGTGGATGAGCCCACTAGGATTTAGGGGAACACACTGGCTGCCACTTTTGTTTCAGAGAAGAAACTGAGAACTATAGAGGGCGAGGGGCTTGTTCATGGGGAAAAAGGTAAATCTCAAGGGAGGTGTCTAAGGTTCTATTCCTGTGCTCAGGTTCTGGGGTAAATCAGACCTTGTGCCTCTGAAAATAAGAGCGATAGCAAGGAAACACTGGGATACAGTGAGGACGAGAACCCACCCAGAGTCAGGGTTATGGGTTCTTCAGTTATACCATGAACTTGCTAGCTTTGAGGGAAAGAAGACACTTATTGCCTATTACATAACATGTGATCTTCACGTATGATCTTGTTTATTTCCTCCATGATCTTTATGGAGAGTATATAGTTACCCCTTTCACAGTTGAGGAAACTGGAGTTCAGACAGAGCAAGAAACTTACTATGGTCACACACACACAGCAAATTACAGATAAGAGAGTTGGACCCTGGACCTCACTCTAGGTCTGTGGTCTTTGAACTACACTATGCTGTTTTTTACAACGTGAACATCTTTATTTGTAAAAATACAGGGTTAGTCCAGATCAGTTTCCAAACCCTGAGCTCAGGCACAAGGTTTCTGATTTGGTCCCAAGGCATTTCAAACAGTTAAAAATAATTGGGTAACCTTCCAACATTTCAAAGATTTCTCAGAAAACTCCAGCTTTCCATCTCCTCTTGAGACACTGGAAGACCCAGCAAGTTCACGAGCTGAGTAATGGTAGCCCCTTAGATGGTGTAGGTCATCTTTGGGTGGCCATATATTCCCATTTATGTCACTTACCTGGTCTTTCTGTCGAATGAATTGATGGCTTCTAGGTTAGATGGTGGCTGACTTTCTGAGATTCACAAGAAATGGAATAAGTGAAAAATACTGTATTAGTTATGGGACTAGGACGTGGGGAGGGTGGTTAGTCTTCCCCCCCACCCCCCTACCCCCGGGACAAGAAATGAGAGGCCTGAGTAAGGAGGTCTGGGCTGTGATCAGTGGAAGAGTCTGCACATGCCCTTCTTTGCAACACACACACACAGACACACACACACACACACACACACACACACACACACACTGCAATCTCGGTTCTGTTCTTAGTTCCAGAGATAAACCTTCAGTAATCTCAAAAATTATGTTTAAAAATCTTCTTAATGATCCCATTTGTATAAGACCTTGTACTTTACATAAAGCTCTTTCACATACCACATGACATACTTGCTGATTATTCATGAGGAAGGTGTGGTAACCGTTACTGTCCCTGTTGCCCTGCCGAGGAAACGGGGGCAGTAGAGGCACGAGCAGCTCCACACTAGTTACACGGTGAGTGAGTGCAGAGTAGAAACGTGAACCAGCTGACTGGATTTCCTTCCTGGTACCGTTTCCATGAGCTGTGCCTCATCTGGGTAGGTGACAGCCATGGTCCCTCCAATGGGATTGCTTTGCAAGATGCCACTGCCATCCTCCTCCTCCTAGAATGATCAGGCTTAAGTTTTACCCAGAATTTGGGACACTCCGAAAGGCCCCTCTCTATTCTGAGAGGGAAAAAGGAGGAGGATGGCTCATCTCCGTCATTTCCTGCAAAATAATCCAAGGCGCCACCCAAGAGGCTAATTACACTCGATCCCTTATGATGTGATGAGCCCGGGCAGGTTGCACAGGTCGATATTGACTTCCAATGGGCACAGCTGTTGCTAGATCTTTTGGCAATTTCAAAGGCGAGTTCTGGCCCCAGGAGGAGCCCATGTGTCTCTTCTTCCCTCTCTGCTGCTGTTTTTAGGCTGCTGTGCTGTGCTCCAGGAAGTCTGTTTCCAAATGTGTAATGTTTCTTAAAGGAAGGGTATTTGGGAGTCGGGGCTGCCAGGGTGGTCATCACTAATGTCCTCCCCAGTGTTACCGCAAAACAGATGGCCAGCTCAGCCTGCTGATGGGTGCCTGACAGGGTCCATGTGCCTGGGCTGGTTCAAAGAAAAATATCCCCCAATAGAAAAAATGTAAACATAAAACCATCTACATATGTAGACACCACCAGACAGAAAGGGTGCCCTCCATCCCCACATGTTTTCTTTCTTGGCTTAGTTATCATTTCAATGCTTTCAGTTCATTATCATGGTTTGAGGTAAATTAATGCAGGAAAGAAAATACAGTTGAAGTAGTATTTGCAATACTACACACACAATTCTATGCAATCCTCCCCCCAGGGGTAGTACTTGGCGGGGGATATGAGTTGAACTAGGAGGGGTGCTAGAGGGATAGCTCTCTGCCTAGGGTTAGATAGATTAGGGATTAGGGATTGTGTTAGGGTTCCCAAAGGTAATATATGAGTATCAGGACCATTCTGTGTCTCGTGAGGAGGATATTTCAGTGTCCTGAAGGGGGAATGTCACTGTGGGCAGGTGTTTGGGAATCAGGGTGTAGATGGGTGCCAGGGAGAGTCTAGTCACCCAGTGTGTAGTTTACTTAACCTTCCAGTACCCACCCCCTGCCACACCTCTGCTTTCTTCCTTCTCTGATGGCTTAGCTGTGTGCTATTCATATTATCTCAATCAGAGAACCTTTGAGAATTCCCTGGATGATTCAGCACTTCTCACCCCACTCTGGCCCAGGGGCTAGCAGTGGGTGAATCTCTCTCCCTGCCCAAACTCCACCACCCTTGCCTTTGCTCAGCCTGCAGTGGTCTCTGATGCTGTTTTCACTGCTCTGGAGGTGGCCGAGGTTTTACACAAACAAAAGTATAGTTAGTTCTGCGTATCTAGAAGAGGAGATGTTATTAACAAGTAAGAGCTAGAACTTTGGGACCTGAATTTAAAACCAATTTTCAAGTTGGGATTAAAACATATATTAGAAGCAGAACATGTCCTGGGTTAAAATGGGGAGAAGGTCATGTGGCAAAGAGGCAATCTCCTGTCAGAACTGCATGGCACGTGACCCGTCCATTGCAGCTTCACTCCCTCTGCCTTCCCTGGATACCACCTGATTGTGGCAGCTATGCAAGCAGAAGGTCCAAAACCTTACCTTTCCAATAACAGATCGAGGAAGCTGTGGTTTGGCAGATAAGTCTACAGGTTTCCGTGGACACACTGCGATGTGATGGTTGTGAAGTGACTGCCAAGTCGGACCCGCCTGAAGTCACAGAAAGCAAGAGTGCATTCTCCTCGGAGTTAACTGCTTCACATATGAATTACTCCCTTCAGTTCTGGGTGCAGATTCAAATACATATTATTATAAACCTCCTTAGAGATTGG